TTTCATGTTAATTAATAGCACTTTAAACTCATCATGCCCCAGTTTGCTCTTTCGACCTTTAAATGTCTCCGTCAGCTGCAGATGAACTTGCGGAGGGGACGAAGATGATAACCAACAGTTAGATGAATCGACCGTTCCCTCCGTGTCTCTGCGTCAGCCATGTTTTCAAAGCCCTCCCTCTGTATCTGCCGGTGATCAGCTGTAGCTGCTCCTAAAACTCAGATTTGCTTTGGTTTGTGCTGAGAAGTCTTGTATGATGAGAGGAATGTCATACACCGTTTAAAAAACCTGATGCTGAAACTAAACCTGATGCTCCTCCTCCGTCATGGCTACATATCACATCAGTGCTTTTACATGTGGGGGCAGATAGAGATCACAGTAAAGTTAACTGGAAAAACAAGAAAAAAAAATGGAACAATTTTTGAAACTTTTTAGTTGTAAACTCTTGAGATCCTATAATTGAGATAATCAAGATGCGGCCCGTGGGCCGAATCCAGCACGTGACTGGATTCCAAAATAATAATGTTTGTGTAACATCAAATGTGAATTTGATTTCATTCATTTGTCCAGATAAAGTTGATGACCCCGTCCTATAAATTAGGATCACAATTTGAACGAAGGTTTATTTTCCACGTCTGAGGCTGAACTTTGTTGTACATGTGGAAAAAAGAACCCTTTTTAAAAGTCACTTCATGTTTAAGTCTGTCAGAGCTCAGCATTAATGTGGCGACCTGAGCTGTGAGGTGAGATAAGACGGAGGGCAAAAATGACCAGGGCAAAACCAAGTCTTGATTTCAGAGCTCTGTCCTGGGGTAGTCCTGTTGTTAGGACGGGATTTGTTTGTTCTTTAATGATCGGAGTGAGGGAAGAGTGACCTTTATTCCAGCTGCAGTGATGCAGTTCTTCTAGTGCAATGTATCGAAAAACACAGCTTGAAAAGTCCTTCAAACACCCACGTGAGACTTTGGTGCGGCTTGTGGCCCTGGGTGAGGGTTTCTGTGACACACGCGTGTTAGATTTCTTTGTGTTACAGGGTTTGGTAGCCAACCTTGCCGCTGACCCCTAGTGGCTGCTCTTCAGAGGCAGATCCTCACCATTGTCAGTGAGCCACCTTTGCCCCGAAGCTGTTTGGGGCGACCGCTTCTTAAAAATGTTGAAACTTAATTTAACTTTAATTTATTTTTTGGATTTTAAACAAGGTATCCTCATGAAATACCACAACCTCTGATTGGACACAAAAAACAAAGGTGACGTTTTTTGTGGTAAAAATGCTGGGTGTAAAACTTGAGCTGCAAAACCTTTATGATTGATTGGAAGCCAAGAAAAAAAAATGCTGTAGGAATTATTATGGAATGACGCTGAGGGAATGTTCATTTTAGGCTCTTCGCTGTTGGGGTAGAGAACCAGTACTAATTCCTGGTATGAAAATGATAATGTAAAGAAACAATCATGACTGTAATGTAAAGGTTGAGCCGTTTACAGATATGTGGAGATTATTCATTTACAGTAATGTGAAATGTCAGACATCTGTGTTTTCTTCACTCAGTTTCCACAACCATCAAAGTGAAACTCTAAATCCTTCCATTGACTTTCTAATCTAAACCACTGAGGCCGTAGGTGCTGGGTTTATGGTCTTTCTTTTACGTTTGTTTGTTTTCTGCTGTGTCCAAGTCACTGATCTGTGTTGCCACCTACTGCCAGAAAGATCAAACTGCAAATGCAGTTTGGTCATAGTAAAACATCCAGATTCTACGGTTAGCTGTACACGTGAGCGTGACAGGAAGTCGGTGGAATGTTGTTGTAGTTTTTTTTTTTAGTTTTTTAATCTGGACCAAGGTTGTTGTTGACACCAGCACAAAATTGGTTTTCTGCAGTGAAAGTCTCCACCACTGTTGCACAAACAGCAGATTTAAAAGTGTTATTGTTTAGATGTATATTTTCTAGTCTTAGTGTTTATGTTTATTTGTTGTTGTTTTTTATTTTAAATATTATGTCTTATGTGATGTCAAAATGCTTTGCGGTGAGTGTACTGTCACATCACCACCTAAATATGTCTATTTACTTGATGAAAAAATACTTTAAAATGTTTAAGAATATATATATAAATATAAATAATTATATGAAGGACCAGGGATAATATTTAATGCAATAATCCCAGACCAGGTTTTACTTCAAACATACACATAGTCCATATATATAAGTCCTCTCATATACAGTTTGTCGTCTTTGATATGGAAACTAACTTGTGTTTAGCGTCTGTTTTTCCACATTGACCTGTGAACTGACCCCAGTACAGCCAATTCGGGCTCTGGAATACCGTATTTTCCGGACTATAAGTCGCTCCGAAGTCGCGCCAGCCAGCTAGAGTGCCCTCTAGTGGCTGTCAGAGTGAAAATAACAAACATGGGATATTATGTATTTTAATATATAAGTCGTACCTGGGTATACATCGTAAACCCGGCCAAAGGATGATAAAGGATGACTTATAGTCCAGAAAAGATGGTAATTAGATTAAAATTATGGATAATCCTGTTCAAAATACAATGAAGTATTTCACAAATATATGTTGTTTCCATCGTTACGTCGTAGCTACTGTTGTTTAATGTTTGAGTGGAGAAATGTCCAGTCAACCGTGGCTCAGTGGACAAAGGTGGAGCAGACAGCAGTTATTATAGAGCTTTAATTTTGTCTTATAAAAACTCACTGATGGTGAAAGAAGGGATCAAGTGACAAATGTAATGAGCACATACTGTTACACAACCGACCACGCGCCGCTATTGAGCAGTGGGTGTTTTTTGTGAAGAATAACAATAGTGTGTGTGTGTGTGTGTGTGATTTCAATATGAGACAAAAATATGGTTATTGTGTTCTAAAATAAATTATTTTCCTAATACAAATAGAAATGTGACTCTGTTTGATCCTGAGGTGAAGTTGAATCTTTGATCACTTAAAATGATGAGGTGGACCAAATTTGGCCCGCAGGCCTTGACTTTGACACATTCTTTATAACAACTGTAATGATGTAATAATCAGTCCTGACCCGTGGACCAGGACTAGGATCAGGTTTCTTTGCAGTCGTTGCTGCTCTTTTAGCAACTGTTTGAATACAGATGTTGACACTAATGTTGATTTGAATGAAGGATTTGAATGAAGTTGATGAAGAGTCGGTTACAGGTTAGTAACCACTCGACTCAACAACAGAAACACAGATAAAGTTTTTATTGAAAAGTCCATGATCCAACGCACAGCACAGCTACGGAAACACCACGGTGGATTATCAGACAAATGAAAGATGCGTTTACTGACCAAAGCAGAAATGTTTGCTGTGGTCAAGTGTCTGGACTCGTCTCACACAGCTCTTAATTTGCCGTTACATTTTCAAATTCTGACAGTGGTGTCTGTGAGGAACTTGTTGATGTTGCATTGCAACTTTTGTTTACTTTATTAGTGATGGGATCCAAAGTCAGTCTAACCTAGTGTGCTTTATAAAGGCATCGTCGTATCACTGACTCCAACAATATATTTTCCCCAAATCCTAACTCTATCCTATTTCAAAATCTGGACACAAAAAAGTAATGTGGAAGATAAAACCCGTGGCTCTGTTCCTTCAGAGGGCGGTGTCCTCAGAGCCGAAAAGCTTGGCGGCGATGGCCTTGCAGTCAGACACGGAGGCTTTTCCATCAAAATCCGCTGGAAGGATGTCTGCGTCAAACTCTTTAATGTAGCCGTCCAGCTCATCGCCGTGAACAAAGACCTGCGGGGAAAAAACAGCTCCGTTAGAAGTGAGGGAATCAACAGGAAGTAGACGTTAGGATTGATCAGCGGTGCGTACCCTCTCCAGGAGTTTGCTCTTCATAAAGGGTTTAACCACGTTGTATGTAGTGGTGAAGTACCAGGGCTGATGGGTAACATGGACTGCTTTGAAGCGGGCTGGGAAGGAGTCCTGGAGAGGATGTGATTAATAACATGTTTACTGCAAGAACATTTGGCCTGTAGGTCTAGTTAATCTGACCGTAAATCATACAAAACAGAAACATCATCAGTTGATGCCGGACTTGAACCTTTGACCAAACCTCCCTGTCACTGTAAGGCTCAGGACAACATCCGTTAAAGTAAGAACAGCTTTCCTCACAAGAAAAAAGATTTGGTTCAATGCTGGGGTGTCAAATCCCTGGCTTGGGGACCACTTCTAGCCCGTGAACCCCACCCAAATCTGGCCCGTCAATAATTATATTTTCTCCTGATGTTATTAAAAAATTATTATTATTATTTTGTAATTATAAAACCCCTTTAAGAACTAATACAAAGATTGATTGCAGCTGAATTAAACATTGAATACAAAATGACGGTGTCAGCTGTGGAGTTTGAGACCCCCTGTTTAAAAGATAATGATATTGACTCATGTTGTGTCAAAGTTCATATCTTGATCACCTGGTATGGTCCCTAGCCGTTGCTGCGGAGAATTAAGTAACATACGACAGAAGCCGTGGTCAAACCAAACTCAACAACCGTAAAATGGAAAAAACCCTGACCTGCAGCATGTCCACCATTTTCTTCAGCTCAGCAGGTTTAATTCCCGAGGCGTGCTGCATGGTGAAGCCTTTGAAATTCTCAATCAGGACAAATCCATTGATCTGGGTCTCCTCATTCTCCAGTAACTTCTCCAAGATCACGCAGTATGCTCTCAGAATCTGTCACACACACAGAACCACGAAGGACCGTGAAGATACAGAAAGAAAGTAACACAGTACAGTGGTCCATCTCTATATCGCCGTTCTCCTTTCTGGATTGTTTTAAATACAATCTCAGAACATTAATGACTGGGTAATGACCTTAGTTGGACACAGGAGGGCACTGTTGTTGTTGTTCGACTGTTGATAACAGTCTGGGGAGGTTCATAAAGGGTAAATATATACTGTACGTAAATCATATAATTACTATCTTGCCTCTACTTCGCGATTTTTTTCCCATTGGTCTTGGAACGCAACTATCGCGATAGAAGAGGGACCACTGTATTAAACACTCTGGTCTATCCCTAACACAAACCTTTAACCCTAACCCTGTCCAAACCATCAGCCCCAAAAATGAAATGTTAGCCCGAGTTTGCTCAAAAGTTAGAGAAAAAAATGTGGTCTAAAGAATCCCGAACAAAGTTATGTCTACACTGGAGTCATTTGTCAACCAGGACTGAAGAAAAACTGTGTCAGGCTCCTTTCAGATATGTTCACCATGGTCACAGTGGCATACGTTTGCTAAAAAAGTTCAAATATTTACCCACACGTGAGGCTTTTTTCAGTACCTCATCAAATGTAATCTCCTCCAGATCCCAGTTCTCGATGTTGAAGAGCAGGACCGCACGTCCGTACTTGTCTCTACTGGGCAGAACCACAGGGTATCCCGCCTCGATGGTGCTGCGGACCGCCGCGGGTGTCATGTTCTCAAACAGCTCAGGATAATCCTTCCTGAATCGCACGTAACCTAAAACATCATACACACGCATTATTAAGATAATGAATGAATAAAAGAATCGTACATGTTGTAAAACGTTATATTTATTTTGGTAGAAAAAAATAGCGTTCATTGGGAAAACGTACATTTAAAATCACAGATTTGGCAGATGCTAATTGTCCAAACGTTAGCAGTTTTGGAGAAAAGTTATTCGAGACTTTTTTTTAATTTACCAACGGACAAAAAGACATAGAGAACATTCTAGATGACTGTTCGTAGCTTGTGATAATTTCTGTTTGCAGTTAAGAAAGGAGTGTGTGCACACACACAAACTGATTAAAAGGGTTTGTGGGGACTACATCGCTGACCGTGGTTTATGGGGACCGAAGTTAAACAACTGTAACTGTAGATCAACCGCAGATATCTGAATCACTGCACAATGTATTAAAAGAGACCCGTGACGTCATCCTATTAAAACCAACACCAAGAGTTGTTTTTTTCATTTAATTTCATAAATTTGAATTAAATCAGCTTTTTCATTTTGTCGCCCACTTTCTCATCAAGAACACTTTGCTCTATATAAAATCCCAGGCAGCCGTGTGTGTATTAATGCAATTGCTGTCCCATTTGTACACAAAGAGCCCCTCTGTCTCCGCAATCTCAGAAGTGCTTCAAAGCCCCGGCTAATGAGTTCATGCCTCCCTGTCTCCCTGATGGACAGTATTCATGCATAACAAACAAGATCACACGCTTAATTACACGAGGAAATGGTAACATTTATGCAGATATCTTATTTCTTGTTGGTACTTCATGGAAATTGGTTGTTAAAATGTATTAATTTGAAAACATATTGGATTAATAATTAAAACGAAATCACTTTTGATGATAAAGAATGACAAAAACGGCGAGAAAAAAAAGCTTAAAATTAGTTAAAAATAACCAACATTTTTTTCAGAAACAAATCTAATTTTACAAAAGAAGTAAAATAACCTTAAATGTAACTTGAAACAAAGGCTAAAATGTAGCTTTAACATGGAAGCTAAAATTTTGCGCCTAGGTGGCAAATATTTTCCAAAAAAGGCTAACCTTGGGTGCGCCTAGGTGGCAAATATTTTCCAAGAAAGGCTAACCTTGGGTTAAGCTATACTTTTAGCTTACTCTATGTAAGCTAGCTAGCTTGATTAGCATTGCTGAGGCTAAACGGCGGTCTTCTCCGTCTTTACTCACCTCTCATGAGCTCATGCGCTCTGGTGACGTCAAACTTTCTGGCCCTGAGGAATCTCAACAGTAAAGCGTCAGGTTTGTCCCTGAAACGTTCCAGCGTCAGTTTGTCCAGGTCGTCTCCCTCCGCTGCCTTCTCCTTCATCATGGTCCGCAGGTCCTTCAGTGACGACGCCCGACTCTCCTCAGTCTCGTTCAGTTCATCCTTAGCCTTTAGGATACATTAAAGACAAAGTGTCATTTAAAAACACACAAAAAATGGACGGATTCATGAGCAAATCATTTATCTGTAGTTTTTTTTTCTCACCTTTTGCACAGTATGGCAGGGCAGTTTGTGGCATGGTCCAAACACTGGCCCGTGGTCCTTCACTGTCAAATGCTCCAGTTTGGAGCGCATGGCCTGCTCCTCCTCTGAGACCATACGGAACGTTCCAGTCTGTAGCAAAGATGATGAGAGAAAAGAGTTGATAAAGAATTCTCCTTTCTCCAAGTCCCATCTTCTAGACTTTTCCCCAGACATTACATGTAACCCTATGAGTTTTACTTCATACTTGACCAAAGATTTTTTTTTCTCTTGTTGTAGGTGTTAAACTTACAGCAGCCATGGTTGCAGTCTCTCGGCAGCTTCACTTTTCTGTGTGAGAAAAAAATGTGATTTACTGTTTATTTTCTTTAGAGAAAATTATTTTCTTGCACTAGTTTTGTTTTTTAAAGTGGCTCAAATAACCTTAGTGGACTATGTGTAAAAGTAAAATGCATAAAAAAAACAGACAAAAAAAAAAGAATTTGTTCAGGTTGTTTCTTAAAAAATGCTTAAAGAATTTGTGGATATTCTCAGTCATCCAATCCAGTTGCCTACTTTAAAACTGCTTTTGAGATTATTATGTTTTTTGTTTTTTTTTTTTTTTTCAAAATATATTATCAAACAAGTTAGCAGCGTTCATCCGACTTTTAACACAAGAAACAAATTCACTATTGCTAAGGTATTTTAGTGCATTGCAAAATTTAAAAAATGGCAAAAAATTAAACAATTAATTTAAAAAAATGTCAATTTTCTTGCAAAAATATATAAAAGAGAACAGCATATTTAAGATGAAGATTTAAAATGACAATGAACTTAATTCTACCAGATTGTTTTATTACTAATTAATTAGTAGTACTGACGCAGTAGATTTACACCGGTTTAGTATATTAGGTTATTGAAATGAAAAAGCTCAGTGTTCTTACTTGCAGCAGATGAGATGACAGGACCAGAGTGGCAGAGGAGTCGGCCGGAGGAGAAGTAGGAGTTGAAGGGGAGGAGTGAGTGAAAACGTCACTCACTCCAGGATTAGATTGACACGGAGGATTAACAATGACTCTTATAATCCACATTAGGCAAAGTGTTATATTAGACCCAGCAGATGTGACGTGAAATATAGGTTTGAACTGTGGAAAATATCACATGAGGTGATCAAAGGCCACCTGGGAATTCAAACTCAGCCCTACGTTAGACATTCCTCTCCTGACTTTCAGTGGAACAGACCTCGGATGGAACCACTTGTTTTGGTTCCCAGATTATGGATTACTGACCCATGACTGAACGGTATCAAACACCACGGGCGGTACTGACTCAAAGGAGGTCGAGCCACGTACCATAAAGAACATGAATATATCCCACCACAGCAGTTGATTTTAGTTTCAGGATGATAGTTTCAGCCCACGATGTTTTCCTTTGGTTTAGACCCGGGTTCTCAAACATATGGCTCGCGGGCCAAAACTGACCCGCTCCCATTAGTTGGCATCGGTGTAACCCATTTGACCAGCCATAGCTGACATAAACCCACTGGCGGGAGAGTCGTGTGGGACTCGTATTCTTTCCAAACGTCATGACAGACTCAGGTTTATTTGAGGTGCAGGTTATAAATTATTTGCGATGATTTAATCGTGACATTGTTGTCAAAGACCTATAAAAACATCGCGTTGACAGGACGGAGCAGTGAAAAAGGTTAATGAGCTGTTGGCTAACAGAGGAAGTGTCTGTCGTGGGTCTCCCTCTCCCTCCTCTTCCTCCCTCGTCTTCCTCCCCCCTCTCCCACACTGAGGCCTCTGTGATTCAGAGTTGACGGACCTACTGTACGGTGTTATTGTCCTTTTTTTTATCGGCTCCCCTCATTAGCGGATGCTAATGAGTGCCGTCCTGTATCCCAGCGGACACAAGCAGGGGTTAACAATGCCATGAATTACGTTTGACCCAGCTATGGAGGCGTTCTCCTGTCTGGAATTCTGTTTCCAAAGGGGATTATATAAAGAATTTTGGGCAGTTATGCCATTCAACAACAACAATAGCGCCCTCCTCTTCCCAACTCCTGTCAGTCATCGAATCGTTTCCGACGTCTCACCCTGACAGATAATTATGTGGAATAAAAACAAAACCGACCAACCTGTGAAGGAAATCAGTGTTTATTTATTTATTGTTACAGTGCCATGTTGAAATGTTTTCAGTGATCAAGACTTCATTCTGTAATTACTGTAATTTAAAAGTTAAAGCGTAACGTCAATACATTTATGAACTAAGTTCATTTTAAATTAGCACAAGGCACAGTCACAGGTTTAAATAAAAATAGTCACAGGAACTGGTCGCTCACAAAACACATTTGTTATGAGTTAAAAAGTGAATAAATGAATTCTTACTACAGGAAACATACTGTATATATGTCAAATAATACACCCTACGTCGATGATGTCACTCTTATCCTCAGCAGAAAATATTTTATTTGTGCACAATTGTAAATCACAATATAACAGGTCTGAAAACATTGTTGTTAGTTGGTGTTTTTGCAGTGTTAAAAAATACTTATGATTTAAACACAGTACTTTATGTCGAGGTAAAATGAAGGAAAAAAACTGCAATAATGCAGATTTGTTCTATTGTACAATAGAAAAAACCAGGCTGCCATATATATAAAAACATAAATATCAAGATTCTAATTCTTCAAACCTGATCGTCATCTTTACACTGAAATTTCAAATTTCTTTCCTCAAACTTTAGCGAGACGTTTACAACAGCAGTTTTTGTCTTACTTCAAAAAACACAGTTTAATCCCGTTGGAGGAAACAAAGACTGTATGGAGACCGGACTAAACTAGGCCAAAGGTCAACGTAATGTAAATAGCAGCGTTCACCATGTGATGCACACATAGACAGTCAGATGATGGTTGGTTTGAAGAGTCACTCCTCAGACTAAAGGGGCAGGACGTTTATGTTTTAGTTTATATTCACACAAATTCACACCAGGCCATGTGAGAAAAGCTGATCGTACGTAAGGCAACACAACAACAGTGTTAATGAACAGTGGCTGGAACTGTTGACTGTATGTCCCGGAAGTCTGTCGGGAAAAATAAAAGAATAAACAGCGGGCTGGATTGGATGGCTCGGCGGGCCAGTTTTGGCCCGCAGACCACTAGTTGATAATCCCTGACCTAGAGAAAGAGTGGCATTTGAGTCCCTAACCCAGGCGTGGGCCATTTTTTTGACTCCACAATAGGTCCTAAAATTTGTACAACGCTAGTATAAATTAATAACATAATTTGGTGGGCCGGATTAAAAGGCCAAATGGGCTGCATCCGGCCCCCGGGCCATAGTTTGCCTTTGCCTGCCCTAACCTCTGACTGATTGCTGTGTTTGTGAACCTCCTGGTGAATTGGCAAAAAGTATCCACACTTAAGCTTTGGAACAAGTCAAATACAAAACAATACATACAAAGAAATACATTTTTAAATGTAACTGAAGACCAGACCAGTGTTTCAGTCAGGAAAAACCCACGTCCATCTACGCTGAGTGTTTTTCCTGGTAGTTGTAAATAGAGTTGGCTCGATACCATTGTTTCATGTCCGATACTGATACAGATACTGCAGCTTGGAGTATCTGCCGATAACAATATCAACCCGATAACGTCCTTGTTTACTGCATATTGTGCATGGTTAAGTTTACAGTTGTTTCTTTTTTCAATATTGGACCGATACTGATCCAGAGTATCGGATCGAGCCACCCCTAGTTGAAAACATAACACACGACAGTGATGAAACTGGAAAATACACATAAAAATGGAGCGTACGCACATTAAAGCAGGTTCAAACGCTGTAGTCACAGAGTTCCCGTGGGTCTGTGGCAACAGTGAGACCACAGGTTTGTTGCACGTCCAGTGTCTATTTACATTAAATCTTTCCTCAGAAAAAGAAAAGGAATAAACAGTTATAAACTGCCTCAGTGTCGGACTTAAAATAAAAGTAGAGAGAAATCAAAACCTGTGCAAAGATCGTCATGGTACCAGTAGTTAAAAGAACAAAAAGTCACGTGGCCCACAGAAAATCAGTACCGATCCCTGGGTCACTTGCTAACGAGCCGAATAAAAATGATTCAAGAGAATCCAGTTATTTTCATGTGCTTTCTTCATTTAAAGGCATTTTGGCAATTTTACCAAATGATGTCGTTCAGCCTCCGATACAAATTTTACCAAATGATGTCGTTCAGCCTCTGATACAAACAGAATAAAGGCTATTTGTAACAGAATAAAGGCTAAAAGACGTTTTATTTTGAAATTTTTTTAACAATCCTTCATGATCCTTCAGTGATCGGCTCAGTACCAGCCGACCTCGGTACATTAGGGTTGGGGACCACTGTCCAGTCCTATATACCTATTTTTCTTGTTTCCTAAGTGTGATGCCTGCCTTCACTAGGGGGTGCCAGAGAGCATTTTAAGGGCGGGAGCAAACGAGGGAAAACCAAAGGCAGGTGTGAGACAACATCTAGACCGGCAACCAATCAGAGACTGAACTGATGGAGTTGTCTGGTGTTGTTCGTCAGTGTTTTCACAGAAATTTAAAATACTATTTCGTTCATTTTTGCGACTTGAAATCTCAAGCAATAATATTCCATCCATAATCCAATGGAAGTGGATGTTTATTTGTGTTAATGCATGTGCGTGGGTACACGTAGGTGTGGAGTGTGTTTGTGTTTGTGCAGCTGAGGGTGAGGGTTGATTGTTTGACTCCACGGAGGGAGGAGCTCAAAGAGTTTGACTAAAAAACCATTGACATTTTTAAATATCAGTCAGGTTTCTCCTCTGAGGAGTGTTGGGATGATAATAAATTCACATTCACTTTCATGCTGCCTTCATGCTTGTAAACAGAAGTTTATCCAGTGTTAGTAAAAACCAGGGATGTCCGATATTAACTTTTTGCCGATATCCAATCAGCTGATATTGTCCAATTTCGATATTAATCGATACCGATATATGAAGCCCTTTGGGTTAAAGGGAGAGTACACATAACTAACCAATATTACATAATTAAGCTAATATCGGCTGATAATATCGCTCGGAAATCCCTGTTTTTTTTTTGCATTTACTTGTTTCTTATAGAAGAGGAACTCTGTCTTTGGCCTGTGATTTGGCTAAAAAAAAATCCACTTTCTCTCAAAAACCAAAGTAGTCTTTCAGTAGAAAAATCACCTACAAACTTGTAGTAGCTGCAGTCAGAGGCACCAGGACTCCGACGGCAGAAAGACCTCATCCCAAAAACGTCAGCGCTGCCATGATGCTGAAGCCCAGCAGGATGAAGAGCACCTTGAACAGCTGCTTCTCCGGGGAGTTGAGCTCATGTGGAAGGATCTCCAGGAAGGTGATGTAGATGAAGGTCCCCGCGGCGAGTCCCTCCAGGACAGCCTGGATCAGCGCTCCGGCTGCTAGCTGGGCCTCCATGACGCCGATGCCGATGGCGATGCCGAGCGGCGACATTAGAGCGAAGAGTCCGATGTATGCGGCCACCCACGCTGGACGAACAGCGCTCTGGACCAGCTTCACCGACAGGCTGAAGACGATGATGCATTTGTGGACCAGGATAGCGATGCAGATCTCCAACACCTGGACGACACACAGATGTTTTATGGGTAATATTCTAGTGAGTAATGCAGTAAAGTGTTAAACCAATGTATGATGTCACTTCCTGAATCGGTTCTGCAATATTGAAATTTGTACTACGTCCTCTTAGACCAGTGATTCTCAACCACTGTGCTGAGATCATTAGGTGTGGCACAATTAATTCCTCTTCCGCTAGGTGGCAGCAGATGGTTATTTAAACTAAAAAGGTAATCAGAGCCGTTGATGTTTATTTAAACTAAAAAGGTAATCAGAGCTGTTGCTTGTATACTGTCCTGCCAGTATATCAGCGTTGTCTTCAACTAAACAGGAGTACATTTTTTAGTTAATTTAAACTAGAATATTAATATATTTTATAACAAATACTTTTTGTGGGATTTTTGTTTAGTGGTGTGCCATGTTGTTTTTCCTGATGATATATATGTGCAGCCTGGTGGTCACTTGGGCACACTGCAGGTTTTTTAATTTTAAAATGCTTGTACATAAAATTGTATCTTACATATGTATTTTTAAATATCTTTTTGACATTTTGAGGAATTAGGAGCTGAGTGAGTTGAAGTCAGTGTCGCTGCAGTTTCACTTCTCGTTCATTTGTAATGACTTGTGATGTTTGGTGATGTGTTTTTTTTACACTGTTTCTGTTCTAGTTCCTGAGTTCATGTAGCAGAGACAGTTCTAATCTACAAAAGCTCCAGATGTTTTCAGATGTTTTGTGGAGCCTTTTCTGGACCAACCTTTGAGTCTGTGTTCTGTAGGCCGATAGCCAGGCCCTCAAAGACTGAGTGAAGCGAGAGAGAGATGAAGAGTATGAAGGAGCGGAAAGGAGAGTGAGCCTGGAAGTCCACATGGACGTGGTGACCGCTGCTCTCCAGATCACTGCTTGCACCGTGTCCATGTCCATGTCCATGTCCATTTCTGTTCTCCTGTAACAGAGGGGCTCTCTCCTCCTGAACCCCTCCTCCCCCCTGACAGGTCAGGACCATCTTCTCCAGTATGAGGACAGTGAAGAAGCCGGCAGCCATGATGAACTCTGGAAGAGGGAAGCTGGTCTGTTTCAGACCCAGACACAAAAGAAATACTTTTTATGTTCAGTTCGTCGTGTCAAAAACTACAGATTATGAATTGAGCTTTTTTTCCCCAAAACTCTAAATCAATCAAAATCAAGAGATCACAGCTGACATTGACAGAACATGTCCAAACACTGACGAACCTCCACTTTCCGAGCGGCCAGTTCTGTACTGATGTCCGACAGGTAATCTGGAATGATGTCCAGCAGACATGCTGCCAGGAAAACTCCACCAGCAAAGCAGCTGATGAGACTTAAAACTGTGCGATGGGCCTCTGCAAATAAATAATAAAACATTTTTAGTAAGTTAATAACTATAACTTATATTATTCTTTGAAAGGTGCTGAAAAAGTCATATTTGAAAAAAAAAATTGATGAGTGGAAGTTTATGTGGTACATCATGAGAATATGAAAAAGCAAAAATTAAAAAAACCCTCCCCCACACACACACTTTCACTTCCACTTAAAACAATGTGGACGGTCGACCTTTCTCGGCTTTAACCATGTGTTAACACGTCGTTAAGCTCCAGGCTTCAGTCATCAGAATCAGGTGACTCTGGTCATTTTGTGTCTGTATGTTAACTGAAGTATATTTCCTAATTAACGCATGACTATTAACAAACACTGTGTTTTATTCGTTCTGTCCTTGTCTGTAAATGGGATTACTGACTGAAGACCACTCTTTTATCAACTCTAAGTGTGTTCTCATATCAGCAGCTTTTATCACATCGTCAGTGGTTTCTTAAGTCACAGTTGATACGTTCAGTGTGTTTATTACCTCAACACACTTATCTGGTTTAAAAACGTGATTCAGTCAAAGATCAGGGACTATCTGCTGTAGGAACCACACTCTTCTACCTAACGGCCAAACTTCCGTAAATTAAATGACTTTTATGCTGCTCTTTGGTTTAATCTACAAAACACTGTAACATAGTAATAACATTAATATACTCATCTCATCCTTAACACTTCGTCCTTGTTTTGTTGGAATAAACTATGAGTGTTTTATTTTTTTTTTGGTCGCAACTACTGATTTGTATTTAGAATACAGACCTTATTTATACGAAACATGGATTAAATTTTATTTAGAAACGTGGTAATATATATAAATATATATACATATATGTATATATATAAAATCCAGTATCCATAAATATTTCATTTAATACTTTATTATTTACTGACCTGTTCCGTTTGTGCGTCTGAACCATTTGACGCGGGCGGGTACGGATCCAAAAAGCAGCGTCAGGATCAGCAGCCCGAACAGAGCTCCTATTTTAACCTGGAGCAAATAATCCATGATGATTCACAATCTGACAGACTAAGACTGTAATTTTTATATCCAACGTAACATTTATTTAGCCTTAAATCAGCAGGAGACCAGAGGATACAGGGAGCTAAGTTGGACTGAAGCCATCAGTTACAGTCACATTATTGTCTGTAGAGTCCGGCCAGTGTTTACTACGGTGGCCGACACAGGTCAAACTCCACCGGGAATTCCCTCTCCGCCTCTGTTGCTGTTAATAAAGTGTGGTAGCTGACCACTAGAGGGCACAGTTGTCCCACGTTTATGTCGCATCACCTCTGCTGTATATAATTTTAGAGAAACTCTTTTCTGTCATTGTCTTCTTCGTCAATAATGAATAAAATAAATTACATAAAATTAGAATTAACGTACTCGAATGTTTTAGTCTGTCAGAGGCTGTATTAAAACAAAACATTTAGACATCTTTAGAAACGTTCCTTTATTTTATATGAATCGAGTGCCGCCGCAGGTTGATTGCGTCATTCCTATGCACCGGATGTGCAGCGCTCCAGCCTCAAGCCGTAGTGCTGAGGTGTTACTTACAAGGCGGTTTTACCGTTGCAGTTCCAGGAGCGGGATATTAATGAATTAAAATACATTTTGGTAGCTAGAGAGCGACAAAGTGAAGGAGTAGAAACAGCTTTAGTTAAGAGGCAAGTAAATGTGACAGAAGCTGCAGCAGCACCGGCAAACAGTGACGAATGGCGGTGAGTGAGATTGACACATTCATTTAAAGCAGTGTATTCAAAGCCTAAATACCAACCGTTATTATGTAGCTGCTGGTACCTCCTTAAATTCAGCCACGTCTTATTTTGTACTTTAGAGTAAACCTGCGACGACAGCTACCTACTCTTCAACAGTGGACTTTGGTCCTGAGGAGAACTATTAGTGTCAGAAAAGTCGAAGCTTATACTAAAACAGAACAAATGCAACACCTGACAAGTAGTTCCAATTGTTCTGGCTAAAGTGGGGTTTTAAAAGGCTAAGGCTAAAAAAGTGTCATCTGCATATAATGTAAAATCAAATGTGTGACTATGTAAATTCTTTCTTCCTCCTTAATAAAAACATTGTGGTTATTTTGATAAGAAATGACACAATTTGGCTCAGTCATTGTTTTTTGACTGTAATGAGTATAAGGCAACACAAAAGTTTGTGATTTTGAATCCGATATCACTAACTGTGCTCTGTGTTCTGCTCAACAGCCCAAAGGTAAAGTCGGCACGAAGGGAAAGAAGCAGATATATGAAGACAATGAGGCAACTCTGAAGTTCTACACCAGGGTCATCCTAGGAGCAAATGTAAATCTGTTTCTGTCACTTTTCCTTCAGTATTTGAGTCACACACATCACGTTAAATGTTAAAAATCAAATCTTAACATTTATTAGTACATGTAGCTTCAATATATTTGAAGTTATTTGGTGCTTCCATGAATTCATGAAAAACATCCCTTCAAAACCACCAGGGGGAGTAAATTTGATTGTTTGAAATTTTTGAATGAAACAGGTACAGGTGTTTGTACAAACAAACTAATTTACTTTGTTAATTACATCATTCTTACTGTCACAAAAAACCTTAAGACGTTTCTGTATGACCCTTGAGCATTAGGTGAAAAATCTCAGAATGTTGAACTTTTCTCATTGCATTTCTTCTCTCCACAGGCCATTTATGCAGCCGTGAATTTTTTAATTTTCTCCAGCTCTTCTACATTTTGGACATGGGTGTGTGCTCTTATTCAATATCATTTCAAATCTTTACATTCTCATATCCACTGTCATTCATCCCGCCGACGTTCCTTTCTTATTTGGCTCTATACCTCGGTCTGGCTTCTGTAGTTTCTGCTGGTGTGTGCACTAGCAGTGTATGTTGGCAGTTACCGCTCCATGTCTGCGATGGCCAAGCCGGCGTTTGCTGAGGATGGGAGTCTCCTGGATGGAGGAATAGACCTGAACATGGAGCAGGGAATGGCAGAGTAAGTTTACAATTGTTCATTGTGACATCTTTGGCAAATGGAGCAGGGAATGGCAGAGTAAGTTTCGGAAATAATTTCTCCAAATCATTGTGACATCTTTGGCAGTTACAAAATAAGTTTGAAACTGCCATTTTTTAACATTTTACATACACGTCGTCCCTCGCTGTATCACGGTTCTTCTGTTGCGCCCTGAGTGCGTCGCAGGTTTTTAATATTTTAAATGTATTTTTGTATTGCGAATTTTTGCAATATATAGACATTTTTAAATTTCCAATATTTTCATTATTTTCATGATAAAATAAGCATTCTCTAGCCTAAGAAAAGAAATAGTACAAAGAATTAAAATATATTTTGTTACACATGAATGTGAGTGAACGAGATTTGTGAAAGTTTCTTTAAGATTTTTCGTTAATATGGTTTTTCTGGTTTCAGGCATCTGAAGGACGTCATCCTGTTAACAGCCATAGTCCAAGTTCTCAGCACCATCTCTTCTTATTTCTGGTACCTCTGGCTGCTGGTAAGAGCTTTTAGAGATTTCCCCATGAAAAAAAAAAATCTTCATTTTGCCTACTTGTTCTAATTATTTTCCGACTGCGTGATAACCAGGCACCGGCTCGTGCCCTGCATCTGCTGTGGGTGAACTTTTTGGGCCCCTGGTTTATGGCAGAGAACCCGACAGCTCCAGAGGAAGTGAACGAGAAGAAGCAGAGACGACAGGAACGCAGACAAATGAGGAAGTTCTGACGGAGCGGAGCAGACCGAGCAGTATTTTTTTATACACACACAATCTAATATACAGATAAAAAAAGGATCTTGTAAGTTATTCAGAAAGAGATTTTGTAATACGTTTCAAAGGAGTCAGGTTCACCTCTGATACCGTGGGCCCATGTTTTCCTCCTGCCGTCTCTTCTAATCCAATTTTCCGCATCAATTATAGAAAGAAATGTTCCCTGTTTAGATAATGTCACTGTCCAAATATTATTGGTCCTCACGCAGAGACTTAAGAGCTTTTGTGTTGCACAATTTCTGCCCTCAGTTGATTTCCTGTCAGTTACACCCAGGAACAGACAAGGTTTCAAACAAGTCCGAACTTAAATTAGTTCTTTTAGGATTTATTTTTTTGTTTTTTGAAAATGTATTTTGTTTTCAGATTTTCTATATCACTGATTTGTCTTAATGACTGAGAACATCGCGGAAATAAAAGTACCTGTTGCATGTTTTCAGTAGAAAAATATTCCGTCTTCCCTATGTGTTTTTCTGTGTCTTTTTGACCTGAGATTTCTTTAAACATAAAACAGAAGAAGGAGGAAAGTCATGACATTGGTGCCTTAATAAATGTGTCCAACATTTTTTCTTTCAGTTCTCTGGTTTGAAGTGACATTGTTTTTTAAAATACTGTCAGTTTCTGTCGACACGAAAGTCAAAATTCTCATAGAATCTCGACACGAAAGTCAAAATTCTCATAGAAGCTTCAACAATCTACAAACTGCATTTTAAAACAAACGAGTCATTTATATATATGTATGTATATGTTTATTTATATGGGTATATATGTGTGTGTGAATATAATATAAATATATACGTACATATAGGCTATATGTATTTATAGATTTGTGTGTATACATATACAGTGTACTGTATATATGTATGTAGATGTTAGCACCTGCAACACTTCAGACACAATCCTGTCTCGTGCTAAAGTCTCTGGAAACAGCCCAAATATTTGAGATTAGCAGGTTAATATCAGAGCTTACAGACTGATGCACAGATGACACTTTAATCCCCTCAAACTGTACAAATGTCAGCCACTCTGTGCACGGCTGTGTCTGCGTTAGCATCCGCTGACTGTAGCCTCGTCCTCGGGCGTCACTGAGTGACTTGAAAGGGTCCATCCCAGTGTCGGAAATGTCTATTCACTGATTACGTTCCCGCTCAGACTCCAAAGAGAGTGAGTGGGCTGTCTGAGCTCACATCTGCCCCCGGTGTAATTGCACTTTTTCTCGTTATTGTTCCATCCAATCCTTGCTCAACTCAACAAGCTGCGACCTGCGTTCTTCTTCAAGTCCACTGCAAAATCCTGAATCTGGTTAAAAAGACATAAAACAGTCGGAGAACTACAAAGTCTCCTCATGTACACGCTGGAATTACAGCTCTCTCCGTTTTTTGTTTTTTTTTTGGACGTTCCTCTCAGACAGCACCATCCCCACAAGCGTTGACTAAATGAGTGCCTCTGCTGCTCCTGCCTCCTTCACTCCAGCCCTGTGGTCCTCTACTGTCTCTATTATAGGGTTATAAACAAAGTAACCAAAATTAGAGCAGCACGGCACCCAGTTGTCAGGCTCAATCCCAGATGTTGGGCTCTGAGAGGGACCACGCTGCAGTGTAATTTAGCACTGAGGCCACTTACTGCACGTAACCCCCCCCACCCCCACACCCCCACGCCCCCACCCCTTATGTGTACTCAGTTTGTACCTGACTGTAGTTTTCATTTATTAGTCAGTAGTTGGTAGTCAGTTGTCAGTAGTCAGTAGTCAGGAGTCAGGAGTCAGTTGTCAGTAGTCAGTAGTCAGTAGTCAGGAGTCAGGAGTCAGTAGTTAGTTGTTAGTTGTCAGCAGTCAGTTGTCAGGAGTCAGTTGTCAGTAGTCAGTAGTCAGGAGTCAGTAGTTAGTTGTTAGTTGTCAGCAGTCAGTTGTTAGGAGTCAGTTGTCAGCAGTCAGTAGTCAGTTGTTAGTAGTCAGTAGTCAGCAGTCAGTTGTTAGGAGTCAGTTGTCAGTAGTCAGCAGTCAGTTGTCAGGAGTCAGTTGTCAGTTGTCAGCAGCCAGTAACCAGCGTGAAGGTGTTTTTGCCTCATCGACTCTGACAGAACATTTTTAAAACCCTTTTTACACTCACACAACCAGACAAAACAGGAAACTGGGGGGCATTTGGCCGAGAGGGGAGCCCTTGACCTTTGACCCGCAGCACTCCTGGTCTTTGAAGTCAGAGAGGGTGAATCACCAGCAATTACATGTGATGCTGAGCGTGTTCCCCCCTGAACGTTCGGCCTCCGCTGTGTAAACAGAATCAGATCTGTGCTGGGCCGGCCTGTGGGTGGAGTCCTCCCCGACTTTATCATCTCTGCTCTCTTTCAACCTTGTTTTGACTCCGGACTTGGACGATCCAAACACTGAGGGGTTTCAGTGTAGGAGTGGCTGGCGTCAGTACATGGTTCCTATTTTTCATTCTGGAGGCCTTTTAAAAAGTAAGAATAAAACAAAAAAGCCCTGTTTCAATGTTGTACATTCTGTAGGAGGAACGACGTCTGCCCCTCTGTCTGCCCCTCTGTCTGCCCCTCTGTCTGCCTCTCCCTGGGTAATTAGCTCCACCACGCTCACCTGTGCATCACTGCTCATTAGTCTCACCCGTCACACCTGGTGTCCTGGTTATATATCTCTCTCCCTCTTGGTTGTTCCTCTGTTTGATGGTCACCGTTTGACCTGTGATGTGTGACAGGACATGTCTGTCCTGGAGGTGGCGCTCTCATCTCGTGTTCCTCCCTCTCAGTCTTCTGCTCTACCTGTTCTGGGTGAGTTTCCTGTTTCGGGCTCAGCCCAGTTTGAGTCTAGATTCTGTTACTGTTGGTGTTTCTGAGTTTTGGACTTTTCAACATCCGGTGGTAACAGATGCAATTGCGTCTTGTGCCCCCTTGGGGGTGCTAAGTAATGGTCTCTGAGCAGCCGTTTGGTGTTGTACATGAATTTGTATGTTCTCTTTTCTCACACGCAGAAACTAGCGGTGATAGGGCTGATTTTTTAAAAATAAATTCTCCGGTCACTTATGGTGTCTCGTGGTCAAAAACTGACCAATCAGCATGGCTGTTTCTAGCATCGTCCTCTAGATCACACCTGACACCGGTCGAAGAATATTCACAGCTCCCACCGCTGCCAAAAAAAGGAAGCCGTTAGGAATCACTCCTGCATTTCACTCTTGCGTGTCTCTGTCCACTTGACGTGTGTGTAAAAGCATCTTGTGGATCAAACATGGGGGGCGCATTCTTCGCCATCCTCTGGGCTTGTCG